GGGTGGGGTAGAGGTAGTTATTTCAACTTAGAATATTTTATCCTTCGCCTTAACATTCTTAATGAGGTGAAAGAGGAAACCACTGTTCCATTGAGATGTACCTTTTAAATTGTCTTCAATATTAAATAAAATATATGAAAAAAAAACACCAAGAAACTGTATCAGGTCCTTTTCTGTTCCAGAATGCTCTAAAATGTCTTTTCCTCGACGTATTTAAATTCAAATAGATGCCTTTTTTTATTTGGTAGTCTTCTTGATCTTCTTGATCCGGAAGATGTGTTCCATGAATAAATAATTCTTCATTTTGATTTGATACGACTTCCTGAGAGGAGTTGGCCTCTCACGAAGCTCTTGGGACTTTAAACGTGTTATTACACCACGTAGAAACTTCCCGTTCACGTGGCAATACATGGCGGAGAGTGAAGGAAGTCTACATTCAAATGCTGTAAAAAAAATGTTCGCAAAGCTCCAAAAGAATTGGTTCTTGATCGGAATCGTTGTTGTTATTTGTCTAGCTAAGTTTGCCCCTTTTATTGGAGCAAAAGGTGGAATTCTTAGACCAGAAATCACCGTCAAATATATAGCTGTTTCAGCCATCTTCTTGAACAGTGGACTGTCCTTGAAGTCAGAAGAGTTGAAAAGCGCTCTTAGCAACGTTAGATTACACCTTTTCGTTCAGGGCTTTACGTTGGCTTTTGTACCTGGCTTTTTTTCGCTGTTAGTGAAGCTTTTAGAGTTAAGCAGCTTGAATGAATGGCTTCTGAAAGGTCTTCTTGTGGTGGGTTGTATGCCTCCGCCTGTATCCTCGGCCGTGATTCTAACAAAGGCTGTCGGTGGAAACGAAGCGGCTGCGATCTTCAACTCAGCATTTGGTAGTTTTCTGGGAATATTCGTCACTCCGTTTTTACTGCTCGTGTTCCTTGGTTCTTCATCTGCGGTTCCTTTTGCATCCATTGTGGGTCAGTTGTCCATGACGGTTGTGTTCCCTTTACTTATTGGTCAGTTTCTTAGAAGATACATCAAAGACTGGATGGAACAAACCAAGCCACCTTTTGGAACGATCAGTAGTTGTGTCCTTCTTCTCATAATCTATACAACATTCTGTGACACATTTTCACATAAGAGTGGCGAGATCGACTCTTCAAGCATATTAGCGGTGGCAGTACTGATAATTTGTCTGCAATGCTGTCTGTTGATGTTGACGTTTTCCTTAGCAACCATGAGAGATTCTTCATTCACCCCAGCAGACACAATAGCAATCATGTTCTGTTCAACTCACAAGTCTCTCACACTGGGAATTCCTATGCTCAAGATTGTTTTTTCAGGATATAAATATCTTTCCTTGATTTCTATCCCACTCCTCATTTACCATCCAGTACAGATTTTACTTGGAGGTCTCTTGGTTCCAGTAGTGAAAGGATGGATGATCAGTTGTCAGCAGAAGGGGAGAGTTGCTGGAACTGGAACTGTTTAGTGCTTGTGTTACCAAGAACGTAGTTTGCCTTTTCCCTTTTACAAGATGTAAAAGCTTTGTGTACCACAGCCCCAATAAAGCATGCAAGAAATTTTGAGAGAATGAAAGATGAATATGGGTTGCTTGAGACATAACCAACAGCAACTCAAACTTCTTGTGTACTCTTAATTTCTGGAGGCATTTTTTCCTTAAATAATTATACAACTGATGCATGCCATTTTTACATTTTCAATGCATTATTTTAAATGTTGTATTGAAAGGGTTGCAATGCATGAAGTAATTTGCATCAATTTGTAACTAGGAAATAGTACACTATTTAAAAAAAACTGATGTATATGTAAATGATGGGAAGCAAGGGAATCAAAGATACAGATGGGTCAAAAAAAGATATTTAAAAATGATATTGACTTTTTCCATACTGTCTGACAGGTGGGAAAGTTTGGTAAATATTAATATTATTAATATGGGATATTAATATTTTACTCAGACTGCAACTTTCAAGCCTGTATCAAATGTTTCTTTGATAATGAGAGAATTGCAGAAGTAAAATAAGTAAGTAAATTAAAGGGAATCAGCAAAAGCTCACTTTAAGTTTGTTGTTTGCTTTTTGATGCAGAGCCAACAGAAACTGAAAACTGACTTATAGATGCTTGGAATATAAGGAAAACTCTGTTTATAACTCATATTTTAAGCTAGGAAAAAATTACTCTGGCTTCTGACATATTTGGGTGGTCAGATAGAGATGATTGTGAATTAAGTGAGAGGTTGTTTGCAGGGGTTTTAAAAACTTTCTCTATAAGCGGCTGTGGATGGTTTAATAGGAAGCTGTACTCAGAAAAGGAGGTTTGGTCCTTTTGGGAAGCAAAAGTGTATTAAGAATTATGAGTACTATCTATATTTGGTTTGTAAGGATTCGTTTTTTCTCTCCCCCCCTGACTTTTGGCTTTTGCTTAATAGATGAAATAACATCCAATGAACATTAAGAAGGAGCAAATGAGAGCACATGTACTTTTTATTTCTCATTATTAACTGATGAAAGATGAAAGCATCTATAAACTCTACAAATTAACCCTTTTTACTCAAAAGTTATCATTAGTGATTCTCTGTACTGTCTGCCATACAATTCTTGCCATAATGGTGTTAGTTTAGAGAGTTTGGTATTGGATCAACCAATAATCCCCTAACGAATATCTTTATTTATTTTCATCAGTTGTCTACTTGATGTTGTATGACATTTTATGGAAAAAATCCTTCTTGGTCACTCATGAGAGCTAACCACTGGTTAACATTGATCATTTAAATCTGATCTTAATTGGGATACGCTTGGATGGCAGATTTGAAGCTTAAAATTGTCCTTTTCTGTTTCCTTTGAGGAAAATAAAGTAAGATTTTCAATCAGCTTGTTTTGAATTTTTTTGGGTTGTATTTTTTTTCCTTTATCGAACACAACTCCTTAGAACAACTTGGCGTTTGCGATCTGGATTTTGCGAGGAGAATGGGAAGGATATTTTGCATCATAACGAGGCTAAAAAACATGGTTGCCGTTGTGCGTACAGAGTGAATTGAGGAATGTGTTCCGGAAGACAGAGATAGTTGAATCATGATCTATTAAAATCTCTATGTAAAGGGGTTTGTCTTGTAAGGGCCATTCACAATAATGTCTGTTCCACAGAGATGGCTGAATTGTCCCCGAAAAAGTCAGATTATCGCAGGTTTGTTGGACTAATCGAACTCGCTCTGGTTCGGCAACCTTGTTATCTGTACACATTTAAGGTTTCTACTAAAAATTGGAACTAGGATCTTCGATTGGAGGATGTCATGGGTTAGCGTTACGAACTTAAGTAGTAACTAAGAAGGTGACAAGTCAAGAAAGGAATCATTTTACAAAGTAGATTACATGAATGTGAACTTCCTCACTTTTACTTACAATGATAATACAATTGTTGCGATTCTGCTTTCCTTTGCATAATTTAAGCTGACAATTCAAGGCCTTCCCTGAAATAATGATTTTATTAAATGCACCTGGTGACATACAGGAATCTAAGAAGAGTTTCTTCTTTTGAGTTCGAAAATTTACACGTCGATTGATTGTTTCGTTTCCGGTCGAAACTGAGAATTTATACCCATATACTTGTGCATGCACACAACATCGATGATTTTTATTAAAACTTGTTACGATAAAACTTTTAAAAATTGTCACTTGGACGAACTTTTGTTTGCAGAAAAGTTTCTTGCCTTTAAAACACCACTGGGGCCGCGCTATGATGACGAAATTCCAGAGGCAAATAGATTTCAGCTGCCTATGTTGTTTGCCTATCTCCAGT